CGCGGACGTCGTCGTCAACGATTTTGGTGGTGAGGGCACAGGAGGTCAGGCATACCTCGTATTCGGCTGGAAAGCCGGCACCACCTACAAGTTCATCACACGTATCCGCCCTGAATCCAGCTCAGGCAGTACATTGTTCTCCACGTGGATCTTCACCCCAGAGACGAACGCTTGGCGCTATATCGCCACCTGGAAGCGTCCTTCCACCACGACGTATCAGTCCGGCGTTTACTCCTTCCTGGAGAATTTCATCGACACTAGAGGTTATGTTGGTCGCCATGTGCAATACAGCAACCAGTGGGCACGTAACACGAACGGTGCCTGGTCTGAGATTACCACTGGTCGCTTTACAGGTGATGCTACTGCGAACAATGCGCAGCGCATGGATTATGCCGGTGGCTTGGAGAACGGACATTTCTACCTCCGCAATTGCGGCTTCTTCTCAGATTTTGTGCCGCTCAACCGGGACTTCACCCGCCTGGCTGCTGGCACTCAGCCAACGGTCGATGTGAACACATTACCAACCCAGTGAAGCAAAACAATGGTTGTATTTCACATGATTTCTGTTAATCTTACCTCTATCCTGATTAATCCTGATCTCTCAGGCAAATTGTTCAATTTTAAATGTTCTCGCATGTAGTTGTACCAATGTGCCGTCAAGCTTTCCTTTTCAATGTATCTGCTGTTTTTTCTTGTACTCGCTTTGTTTCAGGCTTTTGTTTCGAAATTTTTGCTTGAACTATATCTGCTACTTCTTTAAAGTCTACAGATGCTTTTATACCTCTCCATTGGCCCAATAGCCTTCTCTTTCTCTATTGTACATGAGCACTGATTTTGCTGCCCAACAGTCATTCCCACCATTCTCATGATATGCATTTACAAACCTGTTGTACAATCATTAGCCAGGGACAGATAAATAGTATGAATGTATTCTAAAATTAAAAATTAAAGACAACTTCCATGTGTTCATGTGCAGTGAACATAGATTCATAGATGATATCATAAAATACAAGTGCATTTTACTGGTGAATGACATTGATGACATGGGCGAGACTTTGAAATAAGTGGTGAAAAGGTTAATGGACACCACCTCCATTGTTTTCCATTTATTAGCAGAAAGCAAACTGGAGATTGTTGTGATTCATGACAAGAGCAACAAACCAAGAGTGTATTTTTGGTGACTGAATCAAATTGAGCAATACTTGTGCTGTGAAGAGATCTAATGGTAATCACTCAGAAGAGGAGAAGAGCATACTATCACATCTGATGAAAACGCCTTCTACTACACAATAGGATGGTTTGGATACAGTGTGATGCATGATGATAGCCAGCTCAGCAAAATCATGAATGATCTGTTCAAAGCCATTTCTGTTTAGCAATTGCAATTCACACAAACACCTATGTGAGTGAAGACTTGATTTTTTTTGGTTGGAGCAGGCAAAACTCTGAAAACATCAAGGATTTTTGCAACACACATACTAACGGAAATGGCTTTACCAGAAAATAATCCAAGATAAGAGGTAGAGTGCCTCAATTGCCTGGTTCAAGAACTGATAACTTGCCTATTAATTGGCATTTTTCTTTTATATCACTCAATCATTCAAAGCATTGAGGAAGAAATCTACTCAACTCATTAACAACTAATGTGCCAGCCATAATTTTTGCACAATCAATTTACTCTCGAAAACAATGCAAACTACAAATTTCTCAGTTATTATGCTGCAACTAACATTTGCATTCATTCTTTTGCTGTTTTTAATTGCATTGTTCTGGCAATGCAAAGCAAGTAGCAATGTAGAACTTGCAAGTGCACAGGTTGTGATTTGCAGCAATTTTTAGAATTTACTTTGATATATTGAAAGTCATTCCACTCCTCTAGGAGTTTCTAATAAAGATGATGAAGACTTCCTGTCCAATCTATTTTCATGGTATGATGACTGGACTGCGCGAGTGAAAACTGGTGGAAGCATGCAGGCACGATCTAATATACACAGTGTTAGTCTGAGTGCAAAAGAGAAAGAGCACACTGTATAGCTATGTACCTAATACATATGGTGTTAGCTAGACAAAGGTTGGTAAGCATACTACATAATGCAAGGGCAACGAAGGGAGACTTACTCTGAGTGCGAAAGGGAAAGAGCACACAGAGTGGGAATGCAGGGAGGAGTCCTTATATACGTGAAAGGATCAAAATTAGAAGTCTGCTAGAATGGGGAAGCCTGCTATAAAGAGGTTTGTGCATGGGAGCACTACATATAATTGTTCAATCACTATCTACGTATTAGTAGCACCTAATCTAGGATGTCCACCTTAAGTCCATGCCAGGTGGAACACCAAGCCAGAGCCACTAGGCACTTCAACACAATCAACAGGTTGATTTTAATTTCCAATCAGCCAGCTAACCAGGCTCAACTTGAAGTTGCTGCCAATCCATTGTGCAACCTGTATTACAAGCTCTCTGTATTGAAGCATTGTGTTGCTTCTTCATTGTACCTTAACTGGCAAATGCAAAGGAGAGCAATCTATATAATCTCCAAATGGAAGCAAACATTGTGATCTTTGCAACAGCCAGACTGTCTGGCTCTGGAATCTGACATTCAACTTGTGCATATGGCAGCCATCAAAAATATTCTATCTACTGAGGCATGCATGCAGAGAATTCAGAAACTTTCTGAACTCCTGTTGCAAGAGGTCAAGTGACTATCTGAGAAAGAAAAAGGATTCTGTTCACTATCCAAAATATCTGCTTTGAAGCTCAAGAACATATTATGCTCTTTGAAAATGTCAACAGTCAACACCCACAATATTACCTGCCAAACCCTGTGTCAAAATGGTTAACATTATCAAATGGACCTTAAGGCTTATGCTACTGTGAATAGTAATGTGCGAGCTGGGCCTCAAAACCCACAAGCCTGCCAAACCTGGCCCAAAAAGCCTGACCTGAGCCAAGCCTGACTCAAGGCTGGGCTCAAAGTATAGTCAAGCCTAAGCCTGGCCCAGAAGCCCAGGCTTAGATGCACCAGCTCTGTTACTGTTCTCTGACTTCATAATAAGGTGAGAGAGATTTAATATGTATATACCAAACATAATATGAATATTCTAGACTCAATGGTTCCTGCCAAGCACAATTGTGCATTACCATTTGATGTCTGCCATAGGTGTGCGCTCATGGGCTTCATTGTGACTCAACTTATTCTGCAAGCGTATGTCTTCTGGAGGCTGAATTCAGTGAGTACATGCAGTAGTAATCTACTACATCCAAATATACTCCCCTTTTATAGCACTAGAATACTCATTGTATCATGAGCAAGCCTGTGGCTTGGGCCAGGCTCAGAGCTCAGCTCAACGTTGCCACAAGCCCAAGCCTGAACTTGGAGTCCAAGCTGGGCCTGCACATCACTAACTGTGAAAAGAGAGGAGCAGACCAATAAGATCATTGTGCTAGAAGATATTCATGGTGTAATTGTTAACAATTATCACATATGACTATTTGAAAGACATACAGATCAAATTAATGTTTGTGCCATTTGGAATTTTTGCTTTTCGATAACAACCAGCTAATGCAAACCAGATGTACCGGAACCTGGAACATTTCAATGTCATTGACATCAGCAAAACCGCCCGGGCCCTGAAACACCCTGATGAAGGTTTGTCAGGGCACTCAGGGCATCTAGAGTTAGCTCACGCGATCGTGCCCCTCAGATACCAGCCCGTGCATCCTCTCAGTGCCGTCAGATCAACCCTGCCAGTCTACTACACTGGCAGCATTATACTTTTTGGTCCACCAGCTGGCCTTTCCTCTATCATCTCTCGAAGCACGTTGTTTCAGCACGAGGCAGTGACAGAATGGATCTTCGCAGCACGGCATGGCCTTGGTTAGATGCGAGCAATGAGCTAACAGGGGTTGTGGTTATTGACTCTATCATTCAGGCTCACTCTTTTCTTAGGATGTGCAGAAAGGATTATTATAGCCATGGATACATTCTGATATAATTTACTGATTTATTCTATAATTTATTTTGCTTCGGGCCAGGCTCGAACCTCGAGACCTTGACGTCTGAGCGGCTGAGAGCCCTGAGAGGTCTGACGAGTTTCGTCAGGGCCCTCAGCGCTTCCAGTATCGGACCGTTTTGCTGATGGACTCTCAGACTAAGAGATGGACTGCAAACCCATTCACTTCGGTTGTACTGGTCAGAGATCTTTTCGACAGAGGAAAAGACAGTGCTGAAGTTATCTTTGAGATCCAACGACTTCAGGTCGAGTCGGATGGTCAATTAATGTAAACAATGAGATTCGCTCGGCGCTTTAGCTCCGACTTCCCCTGGCAA